CGTTGAAATGTTCATAATATCGAACAGGTGAGTTTCCCCATTGCTCATATTTCCAATATGCCGATTGAGTATTTCCTATCAATATATGAGTTTGCATAAAAATGTCCACACCAGTGATTTTGATCCAATCAAATCGGCTTTTCATGCAACTTCAATAGGTAGAAATCAAGAATTCATAGGCCACGCAAACATTCTCAAACACAATCTGGTGTGAAATATCCTTACCGAATACCACACGATTATTTTCCAGAAATTGTTCATCCTCTAGTGATATAACAATTGAAAATTTAAGTTCACTTCATGTGATGAGTAATTGTAGCTTGATATATTGGTGATTATTTTCTAGGGGATCTGTGAAGGAACTTATAAAATGCGTTACCTACATGGGCTCTCTAACTAATGAATTCATTGCATTCTACTGTATACCAGCCCAACTCCTTACATGTGCGGTAAGTTTCTGCAACCATTTCGAGAGGAGCTGTGATAATACCTACAGAACTCATTCGTCAGTTAGTTTTTTTTTTTTTTTCAAATCGACTCAACCAATCAAATCTTACAGGCGGAAGAAATTCGAGCTACTACCTTCTCTAGCAACAGCCATGAAAATCCATCAAAATCAACGAAATGTACTATCATCATGTTAGGACTAAGAGGGAACAAAGATGTCTACATATGTGCTGGAAAGTTCGTTCAATTGGGAATGCGAAGCTGTTTATCAGTACGGACAAAACATTGGAATACCTGATGATGATCATAACTCATTGAATTTTCAGACGTACCGGACGATTTTTTCATACTACATGTTCTTGATGACAATTCAAGAAAAGGCAGACAAGTAGATTACGCAATGATTTTCATAGATACGAGTCAAACTGTCGAGTTTGAACTCGGTAGTATATGGAATCGAATCAGCCATAGTATATGATATTCAGTAGGCACTAACAAATATATATCTGTTTCAGGAAAATCAAGTTTGTGTTTGTCCCATCCTATCGAATTTGAGACTTGCATATACGTATTAATAATCAATACGGATAATCTCTATCTGTTTCCATAGCGAAACATGAAGCCGATGTTTGAAGACAAATGACTATCCATAAGGAAAAGTTTTGAAACGATCAGACACATACTGCTTTGATTGAAAGGCTAGTAAACGTCATTGTCCATCGAGACACATGTCTTTGATGACTACTATAATAGCGCATGGCGCATGCGTATCATGCCACCAAATCCTTATGGATATTCATTTGTTTCATATTTTTGGCTTCATCCTGGCACCCGTTATGATCCGTATTGTTTATTAATACGTATATGGAGACTTGAAATGTAGGTGAATTTGTGAGGCTCCCAATTCGGGTCACGGATGTAATGTGTGACAAGGAAGTTGCCCTCTGATATCTCCGATGAAATCAATTGAATTTTATTGAATCTTCCAATTCATTCATTCAAAGAGTAAGTTGCAACTTCCAATCACAACTACAAATGCAAGCAGCCGGCTGCTTGTACCACTCTGGATCACATCCCACCCATCAAATCCTGTGAAACGAATCCTTGATGTGCTCCACCTCTCAAATCAACTCAGAGACAGTATATCAATCCAAGAGTAGGAAAGTGAAAACTTTCTATTACAACTGCAAATGGGAGGACTGAAAACAACCGGCTCCTTGAACCACTCAGGATCACACCTCACCCCTTTCCTTTTATGAAATGAGACTTGCTGTCTACCAAAACTGGTCACATGTTCCAGAAAATCATCCAACTCCATAATATTATGTGGCCATATTATGAAAATGTCATCTACCTATCTCTGCCATAATTTTAATTGTTCATTGTTCATAGTTTGCTTGGCAGAAACCTACACATCCTCGATCTATCAACCTACAGACAGTATTTCAATTAATTCCACTCTTGTTCTCATGAACCAATCAGAATCGAGCATTTTCACGGTGTCAACAGTATAAAAGCGTTATTTTTTCAATGCTGAAATCCATCGGACTTGCTATACGAATACCAAAGTCGAATTAACCCACGCGTGACCAACCTTATTCACGGTAGTCAAGGTCATCTGACGTTTCGATAACATGAAAACTACGAGAGAACATGTGCCAAAGAATGCATTAACATAGTTTTCATGTTATCGCAACGTCAGAAAATGACCTTGACTACCGCGAATAACGCCAATTATACGTCGAAAGCCAGAATGATGTGCGCAACCCTCGCGAGACGCTCAGATTGCTTGCTGCTTTAATTCCGCTCATGACATTTTTTCAAAAGCTTGGCTATAAGTGCGTCATTCATGGAATTATCAGGCAACAATCGCCGAATATTTTTTGGGTGATGTTATTTCTTAAAAAAATAGTCATGAATCTTCGAATTCATTCATTTTAAGTGTAATATATTTCAATAACAACTGCAAATGGAAGGACTGAAAACAGCCGGCTCCTTATACCGCTCGGGATCACACCCGTTACCACCGATACAACAAGGCCAGCAGACTCTAACGTAAACAGCTCGTGACGTCACCAAGAGAGGCCAGTGTTTTATTTTATCGCTTGTCGACTAACGCGTCAGTTTGTGTTAATTCATCGGTGATTCACGTATGTTTTTGACACGGTCCCGAATTCTTTTGTTGTTTATTCATCAAAATAATTGGCGGAAAAATTACTGTTTTGTGAAATATTTTGTGTTGTGATCGACGAAATAACAATGCCTTTCAAGTGTTGTGTTCCCTCTTGTCGGATGAATTATGTGGGTGGTTCAAAAGTTCATGCTTTTAGTTTCCCGTTGGACGAGGAGCTATCGAAAATGTGAGTAAATGCAATTCACCGCGAGGATTTTACTCCTTTCAGTAGTAAACAGAGCTCAATTTATAATGATGAATTGATAATAGAAGACAATTACGCTCTCATAAAAAGTATAAGTAGGGGAAAAATAGAAAAGCTTTGATTGTGCAGTTAGTTTTGTATTCGTATATTATAGTAGGCATCTCAATTATAGTCAACAAAATCATCTCTGAATTCGAGGAAATTTTCTCGAATGTTCATAATAAACGGGCATTTTTAATTCCCATTCTCAACTTTCTTTCTGAAAACGGTCATTTTCCTCGTGGCAATGAATGCAGAATTCATTCCAATGATCAAATTGCAACTATCATATTAACATGAACTACAAACACCCTACTTAAGAAGGTACAACTGTATTTATCATGATATTTATCATGAAGATATTTGACTTAAAAGTTCCAAATTTCACCTTCTTTTTCGCCTGTCTTCTGGATGGCATTTAGAACAAATTTCCCTTATTTTTTGATCATATTGGACAATTTATATATAATTCAACTATAAATATGATTTTCTTGAGATTAATCCATATTTAGTGAAAAGAAAAAAAGAATTTCATTCAAAATAATGGCGTGTGTAATGTCATTCGGAAGCAATCTATTGACATTTGACATCTCGTATTTTGATTGACTATTTATTAACAGGTCGTCATCTGGAATGCTTGTTCACTAAATATGAAAAACTCGCCATGAAAATCATATTTCCTGTTGAATTTTCCATATAAAAATGTGCCATCGAAGTACATCATGAGTATATAAAGTGTCCAATGACAAAATAAGAGCAAGTAGCTTCAAATGCCCCCAACAACAAGGGGAGAAAGAAGGCGAAATTTCGAACTTTTTCTTGAAATATCTCAATAAATAGTGGTTTGTTCACATTTTCATTTTAAAATTCGGTTTATCAGACAAAAATACGTGAGCACCGAAAAAAAATCTCAAAAAAAAAACATCGCATGATGAATGCAGTTTTACCCTTGAAAATTACGGTTTCAAGTGTAACGATCCACTTGGGTGAAAAATCCAACAACAGAAAATTGAAAACACTCACTGGTTATTTTTTCAGGTAATAGGAATTCTCCAAGATGAATATAGAAAATTGTAACAAACGGCATGTCAATCAAAATAAAATACATTTTCCACAATTTTCTTTCGATCAATCTCACGATAACTTTATGTTCTGCGGGCCCTGTATAAGTAGGTGTGGAGTTTACCTTCACCACAATTTTTGCCAATATATTTGATTCGAATGGGTTGCTGTAGATGGATATTTGTGTTTTATCCTGGTTTTTGCTTTAAAACTTCGTTTTTCCATAATAAAATCGAATGGGGTGCAAAGAACGGCTCAGTTGACGACTGGCATCCTTCTTTAACCGAAAGCCCTTCAAAAAATAGCAAAATCGGCTCAATGATGATCTAAAACTGAAATCGAAATACGCGGTCGCCTTATAGCGCTATAAGCGCTTGTCGTTTCGAGCCGCTGGTTAGGCCATGTTAGGCCTCACTAAGTGACGTCACCCACGGAGCATGCAGGCCTTGTTGTATCGGTGGTAACGTCACACCCCACCCCTCTCCTTCTATAAAAGGAGTCCTAGATGACTTGCTGCCTCCCGAAACCAGTTTTTCTCGCCTCCTTCACCACGTCCCACATGTTCCAGAAAATCATCCAACTCCATAATATTATGTGGCGATATCATATGGAAATGTCATCTACCTATCTCTACCATAATTCTAATTGTTCATTGTTTTTTTTTTCGGCAAACCTACCTAGTGAAATTTTAATCATCTTCTTATAAATGTCTCATAGTATTTTTTAAGGTTCTGGTTCCCACGAAGAGAGATATCCTGTAATGTTCAAAGAACATCGTGAGAACCAAGAGAAATAAGGTGAGAATTGGTGTTTTTATTTTCAATTTCTAAAGGTTATATGCCTCGAGAATTGTTGCATGAAATAGTCATATGAGTATACAACTCGTGACACTATTTTGCCTGGGCATATCCGTCGATTGAAATACTCTAGCTTGCTGCTTCAATTCCGCTCATGACATGTTTTCAAAAGTTTTGATATATAAGTGCGTAATTCGCGAAATATCTAGGCAACAATCGCCGAATATTACTAACATAATGATATCACTCGTGCAATTATAACATGAAAAAACATTGGTAGATCTTCAAATTTATTCATTTCAATTGCAACTGCAAATGGAAGGACTGAAAACAGCCGGCTCCTTATACCACTCTGGATCACACCCCACCCCTCTTCTCCTATAAAAGGAGTCCTTGATGACTTGCTGTCTTCCGAAACCGGTTTTCCTCGTCTCCTTCACCACGTCCCACATGTTCCAGCCGTACGCCCAGCTGCTGACCTCCGGGAAGTAGAACCGGTCTTCAGGGATCTGGTGCACCCGCTTGGTGAGATAATTTTTCCTGCCGTCCTTGTTGGAACCGCTGTAGATCAGCCGGGTCGTGGCTGGATTGACCGGTTTCATGATCGCTGAAAAATCAGAGATCGTTGACCAGTGCTGAAGCCTTTCAAAACGGTAACAAGTGGAAAAAAATTAAAGCAGGATGAAACCCATTTGGAACGTAAGAGGACATAGATAAAATTAGGGTAATGATACCTCATGATATCATTTTATCATTACCCAGCAGCAAACATCAAATCTCTGGCCGCCTTCTGGCCCAGTACATACCCTAACAACACACATCCTAGGAACTTCCCAGGGACGTCCCCAATTTCAAACTAGAACATCCCAGGAATATCCTTCTTGGCACAAAGTACATACTAGGGACGTCCCAGGGACATCCGTTCTCAGACAAAATTGACATCCAAGGGATGTCCCTTCTGGTACGTCCCTGGGATGTACCGAGTACGAAGAAGGGATATCCCTAGGACGTCCCAAGGATATCCCAGGGACATTCCTTCGATAAAAGAAAAAAATGTAGGTCGAGTAGGGATTGAACGTGGGACCTTCAGCTTATCAGGCACGCACCTCACTCCACTGGCTGATATGCCTTCTGAAGATTATTGTATTGAACAAATTTGTGAACATGACTAAACTTCAGAAACCTGAATAAAAATAACTTTGTTAGGATTCGGGTATAATTATTATCTATCTTGGGTGTTAAAAAATGAGGGGCATTATGCATTTACGATTCCAGTTTGCGAAAACTGGTCATTTCTTGAGGAATTTCGAGACTATATTCTTTATTGTCATTACAATTATTTTCCGCGCGGAAGAAATACATTTTCGAAAAAATTTGACCCAATATTTTGATGAAATTCAATGACTCTCTGATGTGAATGGATATCAGATATTCCAGGGACACGAATGGATGTCCACTGGATGTCCCAATCATGTCCTGCTTGTACCGCGGGACAAAAAAGGGACTTACCTAGGACATCCCTGTGTTGTTAGGGTAATAGTTCGGCAGATTGCTGGCTACGGCCAAGCTGCACTAGTCAAACGTCGGCACATTGAATGGCATATTGTGATCGTTTGCCTCTGAATCAGCCGGCACTGGGCCCATAGTGTCAATTTGTACTATGTTTTCACCTACCCCATACAATCGTCTAACTATTATATATGGCATATTGAAATCGTTCAACCATAATCTTGCCGGCACCGTGTCATATAAAGTATGATTATATGTCAGTTCCAACTGAAAAATCAATTTTTGAAAACGGCGGGATAGCGCAGCGGTTGAGGCGTTCGACTAGTAACCAAAACATCGAGAGGTTGCCAGGTTTGGATCCCCAGAAGAGCAGAGAATGGGCGTGTACACCTTAGTAGAACTTTCAACTCAAACCATGTTTATAATGATCCTTTCATTCATAAATAATGATTGACGACATAATTCGATCGAAAAATCAACTGGAATGTTTTATTTTTGGACATAAAATAATAGTACCTTCTGAAAACGGACCCATCTAATGACGTAGAAACCTCATCTCGTTATAGTTAAAAGAAAATACCAAACGCCCGACGGAGACTGAGGCAACTGATTTATTAATTCTTTCAGCTGTGATCTCGTGCTATTCAGTCTGTCAGAAATAATGTATCATTCATCTCTGTCTGGAATAGTCTTGTTTCAGTATTAGGGTTTTGACGTCACATCATCGCCTCGTTTTCAGAGGTCCGAAAAATCGGGGATTTCAATAATTTTTTATAAAACGTAGGGAGCTCACAGCAAGAAACGGTTTGCGGTGGTGAGCTAGTTTGGGTGAGTTCTATCGAATTATGAAATATTTTTTTTTGTGATATAAGCCCATTATGAATTATGATTATCGTAGTCACGGCCGGAAATGAGTGCGCAAGATTCGTTGTTGCTCCTCAATTGGCGTATGGAGTAAGTCCCAAAGCCTACACAGAACTTTTAAGCTGAAAAACCTCTCGTGAGGTCGTGTCCAGTTGTTTTGTACATTCATACCAACCAAGTACATATACTTCTACTTCTACTACTAATGTTAATTCATTATTGCATTTCAATAAGGTAAGTAAGTAAGTAAGTATATGTATTTCGTTGGTATGTATGTACATCTCAACTGGCCATCGACTTAACGATAGGTCCTGCAGCTCATTTGTGTCATGTGTAGGCTTTGTTACTTACTCCATATGTCACCTTAGTAGCAGCACTGTTAATTCGAAAGCAACTGCGAATCGTGCGGAATCATATTTGGCTTGGTTACGATATTCAGAATGTATAACCCAATACATAAATACAAATTGTATGCTCTACCAGGGATCAAACCCAGCAACTTTTTGACGTTCTGATTGCTAGTCGAACGCTCAACCAGTGCGCTATCTCAACTTTTTGTGTACCCAAACACCCCCTTGGCTGGCACCAGCCAACACACACAGTGTGAAGACTTGTAGATATTCATTTTCATTATATTGAGTGTTTGTTTTGATAGAAATTGTGTATGTAGATGAGAAAAAAATTTATTGAATGAATTTTATGTGTTTGATTTGTAACCAGCATTCAGCTCATCAGATTGCTCTTCAACACCAAATGTTTCCAGTGATAGTAACTGTATGACAATTCTTGAATTTCAAATTGACTCTTGCATGCACTGAAAAAATCACTGTCAATCACTGATATTCTAACTGAATTCATTATCATATCAACTCAGAACCACTAGGAATGTTCTGAAAATCGATCCGACTTTTGACATTGTATGTACACAAGCTGACAGTAGATTGCGATATCGTATTTGTCTATGGGATTTATCTGTATCTACATACAGAGTGACCCATTTGAAAGCGGGCCACCCCTGTATCTCACGTAATCGTTGGGTAAGGATCATGAAATTTGCTGGAGCGAGAGATATACCAAAAATGCACTCTATGACCAAGTGGGGTCATCTTCAGTGATATACACTGCTCGCCAACAGCCATGAAACTACCCCAATTTCCGGAAAATGATATTAGGAGTCAAAATAGGTTGAAAATCACTTCGGATTCGGAATCAGCACGCCCAATTCACTAACTATTCATATTTTTCCTTGAAAATTTTCACTTCTGAAACATTAAATTTTGTCGCACTTTTCATGGAAGCACCCCCGTATATCACGTAATTATTGAGGTAGGGTTCTAAAATTTGCAGGAGGAACGGAAAGTCCAAAGATAAAGTCAACTACGTGAGATACGGGGGTGCTTCCGTGAAAAGTGCGACAAAATTTAATTTTTCAGAACTGAAAATTTTCAAGGAAAAAAATGAATAGTTAGTGAATTGGGCGTCCTGATTCCGAATCCGAAGTGATTTTCAACCTATTTTGACTCCTAATATCATTTTCCGGAAATTGGGGTGGTTCCATGGCTGTTGGCGAGCAGTGTATATCACTGAAGATGACTCCACTTGGTCATAGAGTGCATTTTTGGTATATCTCTCGCTCCAGCAAATTTCATGATCCTTACCCAACGATTACGTGAGATACAGGGGTGGCCCGCTTTCAAATGGGTCACTCTGTATGATGTATTCATTGCTCAGAAGCGAGTTTTCAAAATAAAGGTACTCTATTTAGTACAAACAAAGATAGTCATCAACTCAATACCAGAACTGAAAATGATCTTGATAAATACCTATCAATGAATACCTTGTATCTTTCAACTCTCCTCAATCTATGGCGCCTAGGTTATTCAATAAATTGCCAAACTATATTAAAGAGAGCAAAAATAATAATATGGTCTAATAGCAAGTACGTGAATATTTATTAGAAAAATGGTTGCATAATGTTGAAGAGCTTATGTCCTGTAAACGTTTTTGTTTGTGAATTTCCATATTCACCTCTTGATGTAATATAGTATATATCCTGATGTTTTATCACATTTCATTTATATTGTAGAATATTTTGAATTTTGAAATTCTGAATTCAGAACTCAATTATGTACCTACTTAGTTTTAGTTTCAATGTTCTGTTGTCTACTTGAAAATAATGATCTCATCTTATCTTGTCTTATCTTGAGTGATAGCGAAGGACCGGGGTTCGAATCCCGTGGCGGTCGTCTTTTATTTTCAATTGAATGTATCGACAGGACCTGATGACGACCAGAGTCTCCTATTGATACTGCATATTATGAGCCAGCATAAAGCCAACCGAAATTGTCTGCTGTGTACCTTGGTACAAATAGTTATTTATTATACAAGGGAAAAAAGTAGTCGATAATAGGTCCAGGTTGTGTTGTCTCCCGACGCGTAGCGACATTTTGAAACCTGCCAACAGAGATGAAATGTCAAACTTTTTCTCGTCACAGGAAAAAATAACTATTCTACAACGTTTAATATATCTTATACTGTGTTAATATTAGGATTACAGTACCTTGCATCGCTCTAGGATCAATCAACGGATCAGCATCCCCGGTCTTGATCCGCGGATTCTTGATGACGTTCCTGTAGTTGTCCACAATGGCTTCCTTGTACTTTTCAGTGACTTCTTCCGGTACAGCTCTGTTTGGTGGTTTGTTGGAAATCTCATTCAGGCGACGCTCGTTGGTTCGGAACCACTTCAGCCGTATAATTTTTTAGTTAGGTAATGATGTCGAATTTGACGAACATTCTGTTGAGTGGGGCAACAAAACACTTCGAAATTTACATAGGTGGGTACAGTGAGAGAAATTGGATATTAAAAATATCTACTAGCTCTGATTGTAATAACCATTATAAAGAAATCTTCTATTCCTTATCATTTTGTTAATATATCAGTATTCTCTCGATTCTGTTATTATTGAAATCGCTTTCTTGAAACATTTGCAATAACCTTGGATTGCCATTTGCTACCATCATAATGTAGGTGTGTTATGACATTATGAGTATTTTATAATAAGTTCTAGTCTATTCAGCTTTTTTATTGAATTAGCTCGTTTTGTGAAACATGCTTATGAATTCAGTTAATCCCAATAATCATAGCTGTTTGGGTGGAAAGCTCATGATGGAATGGAATCTGTATCTCCATAGAGATGATCAGATACGAACTGATACGAAGGAATTAGCAGAAGAGTGGTTCGGATCAAGTCACTATATAGAGGTTGAAAAAGCAGGAGACAAAAAGAGAGATATAATTTGATCGCATACAAATTCGAATTTGTGAATTTTTGAAGAATACATATAATAGGTCTCACCATATACAATTGAAGTAGTAGGTCATCTTATTCATTTTATTTGATATTTTATATGTGATACTTATGTAATTTTATAATCTTCTGATTAGAGTATTTCACTTTCTTTGATTTGAATATCATTCGACCTATATATTTTCCACAGGTGTGAAAATTTTGAGAATTTTTGCGAATATCTCGGAACGCTCCAGGGCATTCTCTCTGCAAACTTCAGATTCAGATTCATCACCCTCAAAAACAAACAAAGATCGCAGAAAAACGGACTACTTGAATTTTTTCCACGTGCAAATATCATTTTATTGGACTAATGGTTCAGTGCAGCATGAAACTGATTGTAATATAATAAGTGTCGACCCAAATTTGGGGCAGCCAGGTTTATTTTAATTTTGTGTTGACAATTTTTTCTGACAATAAAACAAGCTCAACTCAATATTTAGCAAAGAGAATGAACATGTATAATATTCATAACATAATTTTGGAATCGCTCACCACAGCTCGAACTAAGGAATGTAAAGGGAGGCTGATTATTTTCTAAATATTCGGCATCGTCTCTGACTAGAAAATTACCTTCAGGCGCAGCATGTTTTCCTTTTCGATGGCGTGTGCCCAACCTTTCTCCAAATGGGCATCGATGCCCCTTTGGGCTGTCGGCATTTTTGATCGATTACAACAATTTTGTGTATTCAATTTGAATTCAAAATGTCTTGACAGATTAACGTCGAATTTGATGTTGATGCCAAGTGAGTTGAAATATTTCAGATTCTGAATAGGTTGGAAGTCATAATGATGGAAGTAGTGTGCGCAACTATCGTGAGGCGCTCGTTGACTCTTGTCAGTTCTGTCATTGGTTCTTTCTCTGTCACTAGGTGTGTGAAGATTGCCGTCAAAGTGAGCAAGCCCGATTTCCAAACGGATTTCCGAACGCGATTATCAGTGGCGCGAGCTATTTTATACCCTATATTTACAATTTCCAATGACAAGTGGATCGATTGCGGATTCCCTTCGGGTGTCTAGGTAATATATTTCAATTTAGACGAATTATCATTAACGAATTTTACCTATCACAAGATGAACACAATTGAAAACAATGAGGTCAACTAATTAATTATGGGGAAATTATGATTGATTATTTATTCCTTTGTGCCAGATGACAAGGACTTATTGTTGCCAAACTTAAAGAAATAGCTATTAGCATAACCCAGCGTAAGCGTAATATATCAATCAACGGCATAACCCACCGTAAGCGTAATATATCAATCAACGGCATAACATAGATTCAGATACTTTCAGATTCATGTAAAATGGTAGGTAACTCTAGCGCACAAAGATGTATTCCTTGAAATGTGGATATTTCTTGCTCAATCTCAATCTTCCGATCCCAAGAGTCTTGATCTTGCATGGTCTCGAAAGAAAAATAATAAACTTGAATCTAGTCAATATTAAGAAAAAACCGAAAGAAATGTAGTGGCATTTTATTACAGTTATTCATTTGTCATATGGTATTTTCAATTTTTGTTCACTCAAAATCCGAAATACATTTTTCAAATTCAGTATTGCATCATCAGTTTCAAAGTTTACAACAACAAATAGGTGTAGGTTTGTTGTAAGGTCACATTGGTCCATACTTCCTCCTATTGAAGATATAAACAAATTTAATGCAAATGTTATTTGGTTTGAATTTGAAATTTTTAGAAATATATTGATAATGCATTGTTTCCAGTTCCGACCCTTCTGAACCTTTTTTTGGCCTGTCGGGCGTCGGCCTGGTTCCCTTCATGAGCTGTCTGAAATACCGAAACAATCTGGTGAACAATTCTGATAATGGAAAAATAAGCATTGAGTATCGGAAATATCGAATATAACGAGAATTTCATCTGTAATTTGTTAGAACCTTCCGAACGAAAACGGAGGTTTTTTTATCGCTTGGAGCGCACAAAAGGAAATCCCTATAATGTTCAAAGAACATCGTGCGTTCATAGGGAGGATAGGGACGGGAGGTTGGTATTGGAATCTTTCTCGAACTTCTGGAGATTACCTATATGTTGTTGGGAATACTTCCTCAGGCAATGAATTCCAGAGCCTAGCAGCCGTTCTATGGATGAAGGAGTTTTGATAAAGTGCTGTTAGGTATTGTCATTGAAAACGTTCAATTGTACTTTTGGAGAGATGGAGAAGATGAGAAAGAACTATCAATTTCTTGTGGTCATTGCTCACGACTGAAACATGTGTACCTACAAGAGCTCTTTATTGAAACATCCATATGAAGGACGATTCAAAATTCGATGTAGATATTTCAAAGACATATTGTTGGGGTCAAAATATAACTTTTTCTCGATATAAACATGATTATTTAAATGCACCCCCTCCTTATTGTTACAACCACTGTGAGTTGGGTGAAGATCTACGGATGAAAAAAAAGATCATCTAAAATAACAGATCACATCTTCTGATGAAATATGTGATGCCCTCGTCTTTTTAGATACTCATCTATTTCCCTCTTGCTTTGAAAATTATGTAAACCCAGTTCTGAGGAAGGTGGTGGGGGGTCTACCCTTTTAATGGCTTAAATTTCATGTTACTAAAGAAAAACTATCTGACTTTGAGTTCCATTATCTTGTGGCTTGTGGTCATGAAAAAAGTTGAGAATCCGCGGTAGGTATCTTGCAATTTCTCATACAACTAACCGTTTTCCAGATTACCGTAATCAACGAAAGGGTTCACAGCATCGGCTTAGAACGCAAAGGGTTGAACGCTCACATACAGAGGTAATCGCATGTCGGAACGCATTTGAGACTGCTATTTCAAAGGCGTGCGGTACTGCAATATTTGCATTTGATTCGTTATTATGATCCCAATTTCAGGAAATCTCTTGTTTTTTACCCAACTTACAGAGACTGTCTGGCTCGAAGGAGGTGCATTTTAGGCCACATCATTATGTAAAGACAAATTCTCATTTTAATCCCAACAATAATACGTATATAAGATATTTACATCGAATTTTGAATCACCTTGTATATTGAATAGGTAGTTTTTTTCTCATTTTATCCATCTCCCCGAAAGTAGTCGCTTGATTCCAACAACGAAAATGCAACAGTTTAAATTTTTCTATTCTTCAGTAACCGAGTTAGTCGAATTATTTTTTCGGTCTTCCGTTTTTTTTTTCCTATTTCAATGTTTTTACCTGTTGATATGTGATATTATTCGACTATTTATTCAATACTTTCTTCTTTATTTTGATATTGATGGTTTCAAATGATGCACACATTTATTGAAAACAACGTAAGTTACGTATTTCTTTTTTTTCCCTAAATATTGGATATCGGACCTAGACCCCCCCCCCCTAGGGGTGAATCTCAATTACGCCACAGATCTTATTTAATGTTTACTCAAGGTTTATTAAAAATTAAATTCTGATGGCAAAAGGAGGAATATATTTCGCCCCGTTTATACGCACAAATTGACAATTTTGAAGACTGAGAAATACGAAATTCATATTATATGCATATAAACTGTTGGATATTGGAATTGAATAATTCAAATTTCTCGACGCATTTTGATCCAAGGCCAAGACTATCAAGACCAAGACCAACACTGAACCAGTCTCGTCTTGGTCCTGAAACATCAATATCAATACCCAGATTACATTTATTCTTTGGTACCAAGACCAAGACTGACGAATCCTCACAATTTATTTGCTTCTTATTTATGTACTACGTTACGTAGTATAGTAAAGGGGTGGACTGGACTTTTGAATCGGCCCGGGCGAATTGAACCCTACCGGCCCATCTCCGGAGAAAATTTCATAAAATTTCATTACATATTTCAGTGACATAGACAAAAACGCAAAAAGAATACAAATAGTTTGATTAGAATGGAAGTCAAGAAAAAATATTTTTCGATAAAACATCGAATATACTGGAGAAAACTGGAATGAATAACATAAATAACATTATTTTGATTACATATTTCAGGGACATGGACACAAACGCAAAACAACCCTACAAATAGTTTTGATTATAATAAAAATCAAGATAAAAAATTGTCGATGAAACATCAAAACATCAAATATAGGTACTGAAGAAAAGTGAAATGAATAACATAAGTAACATTCTATAAATGAAGAATAAGAATCAACTAAATAATCCATATTTCTATGGTAGAGCTAGGAACATGAAGCACTTTGGTAGATAATATTGAAGCTACAAAAACACTAGGAAAATTATGCACCCAAAACAGCAGCATTTCAAATAGAAATTGAAAAACGAGTAAACCTCTCATTGATCTACATTCCTCAAGGAAATCGAAAATTACATCGTCGCTTTCTATTGATTGTAAAATTCCTTTTTCGCAGCTCATCATCATGAATGCCTCCAAATGTTCTTGGCTCAGAGAACTTTTTAGCCTATTGAAATTGAATCAAAATTCTAAGATACCTGCGAAACTAAAAGGGTGAGAATCATTTTCTCTAAATTTGGATAGACCTCGACGTTCAAATTGTATATGTGCAAAACATGGTAGCAACAAAGTGAACATGTTTTGCGAAACTTGTGTTTTGATGAAATCAATCAATCTTCTACATTGAAGACATAAGTTCCACCATCCATCATATCTTCTGATAAAGTACTCGACAGAGTCTTTCCCACTGCGGGGTGGAATCTATATTTGATCATCAGTAAATCTTGGTTACCTACATTGAAAGTCTCCATTTCGAATTCCTTGATGGGATTTTGAGGAACCTTCAATCACCTTTCCCATCTAAAAAAACTTTTTTTATTTCGTGTTCTTTGGAGATAAATAGTTAATTGGCTTTATCAATGAATTTATATGTGTATCATTCAAAATTACATCATATTCTCGCGATATTTTTTCAAGGATTTCATGGTTTTTTTCGACCATTCGGTATGCTCCTGAAATATCCATTGGTACCTGATATTCGAAGTCAGCTGAGGGGTGGTGAAATTGTAGTTATGAAGGTCTCATACACCAACAAGCTGTCGAGAAGACATATATTTCTTTATTCATTCACTATTTCTACCGGTCCCAAAAGGCCCCAGCCCATCGGGCGATCGCTCGACCGCTCGGCCCCCCCAGTCCGCCTCTGGTATAGTACCTAAACCATCTTTTTTCAATATGAAATCATAACTGAACAGTACTATAGCATTATGTGAACAAAGTGTTCGCAATTGTACTGCACGACCTGTGAAAAAGAATAATTATTCAAAATGATACAGTTCACTATCAGTTATATTTTGGCATGCACATATTACAAAACTTGAACGTGAAATATCCAAAATAGTCTATGACTGTAGTATTCTCAAAAATAGAAACCAGGAAATTTGCATTGTGAAATAATGAACCTTGCCCAGGTAACAAGCTGACGTCATTTGTACGTCAATATATCGTCATTTATGGTCATTGACGTCATATGATCTCAAAATGACGTCATTTTGACGTACTCAATATGACTTTATATATACGTCCTTGATATGCCGTCAATATGACGTCATCTGATGGTCATTATCATGACTAATTATGACCATCATTTATTGAGTCATCTACATCAAGGGAAATTCATAATCAAGAAGTTTACCATCTCTGTTATATGAAAATGTTAGTGATTATGTTATATAACATATATCATTATGTCACTCATC